AAACATTGTTTAATGTTTTGGTGAGTTGTTTTAATAAACTTTTTTCTTTTTCTTTTTTTTAAAAGTTTTTAACGTTTATTCATTTCTGAGAGACAGAGACAGAGCATGAGCGGGAGAGGGGCAGAGAGAGAAGGAGACACGGAATCGGAAGCACGCTCCAAGCTCCGAGCTGTCAGCACAGAGCCCGACGCGGGGCTCCAGCTCACGAACTGTGAGATCATGACCTGAGCCGAAGTCGGATGCTCAACCGAGTCACCCAGGCACCCCAAGAATGTGTATTTTAAATTTGAAGGTATAGACTTAAATATACATTATTAAGTCACACTTTTTCTTTTCTAAGTTTATTTTTTTAGTAATGTCTACACCTGACATGGGGCTCGAACCCACGACCCCTTGATCGAGAGACACATGCTCCCCCGACTGAGCCACCCAGGCGCCCCTCTTCACGGTTTTTAAATATGTGCCGTGATGAACATCTTTGGTGACAGAATGGTCCCCCACCCCTTATCCGTGGGGAGTCCGTTCAGAGACCCGGTGGATGCCTGAAACCAGGGGTGGTACTGATCCCTACACAGACTGTGTTTTCTCTTATACGAACATACCTGTGACCAATTTAGCTTAAGAACTAGGCGCAAAAAGAGAGTAACAATAATAACTAATAATAAGCTAGAGCCGTGGTAGCAATATCCTGGAGTGAAGTCACGGGGCTGTGGTGTCCGTCAAAGTATCTTCCTGCCCTGTGCTCACCCTTCTTGTGATGTCAGAGGGTTGGATGAAGGAGGCGAGTGGCCCAGGCATGTGGTGCAGCGGGAGGCTGCTGGTGACCTGAGGACCCATCAGAAGGAGGGTCATCTGCTCCTGGACCCTGGCGACCGCGGGGTAGCTGAGCTGGGGGGGGCTGCTGTGTAGGAAGTGGCCTGAGTATCTACTCGGGGTGGTTTCCTAGAACAGACGCCTCTGGGCTGGGACAAAGACTACCTCGCATCTTGGCCGGATGCGTTCCAGAGGCATCAGCGATGCCGTGTCCGCCATGGGGGGGGGGGGGCAGGGCCCTCTGTCCTGCTGGCCGCTGGCCACCCTGCCCATTCCGTTTCCTCTCGGGCAGGCTTGGGGAACAGGTCTTTTGTTGCTTTCATTTTGATTTCTTTGCTGGCGACGCTGAGCATCTTTTGACGCTGTTATTGGCCGTGTAGAATGTTGCCTGTGTGTGCTCTTGCACATTTTTGTTTTGTTTGGGCTGTGTGTCTCTTTCTTCTTCTAGAGCTCTTTTACAATAAGGGTTTCAGCCCGTGTCTACCCTGTGCTAGTGTGCATCACATCGGTTTTTCAGTTTGTCTTTTTACCTTTGGAATTCACTTTTTGTTTGTGATGCATAGATTTTTAAATGTGTGTGCAGCCAAATCTATCACTTCCTGACTGGGTTCTGCCTTTGGGATGAGGCCTAGGGTAGCTCTTACCAGGGTAAGAT